GAAGATATCGAATACAATCTACTGATGCACCCAGACGAGCTCGATATGCACTTCTTGTTTGTTCTGATTGCTTGAAGAGACAAGCCCCAATACTTTGTTCTTGGTGATTGAATGATTCAAACTTAATTCGAGCTAGGTTGTGTGCGCTACCGGAATTTCCAACATGTTTAATGAGACTACTTTTCTTTTTCCAATTTGAGAATCCACCGACAATAAAAGAATTGCGACTTGAACTAAACAGATAGCAATACAAGCAAAATACTGCATTTTTTGCTATACTAAATTCTAGCCAACTAGGACATTCATCATACCAATTAGTACCAAATCGTCTATCTTTATTTCTTTTTTCAACACCAAAAACTCATGATTACGAGACTGGCAAGGACCCCTTTGCACATATTCCCTTCGAACAACATCCCGAACATTAACATTATAATAATTAATTGGAATTCGCAATCCAAGGTCTGAAGGCAATTGTTCTACATTAATCTCATCACTTTCTTCCCCTTATTCCCAATTCATCCCCTTCATCCTGAACGCCAATTTCATCAATCTCATCACTGTCATTCCCAATCCCAACATCAATCTAATCAATTTCATCCCCTTTATCCCAAATATCAATCTCAACATTCCTTTCATCAATGTTTGGTTCAATCAAAGATGGATGAACTAAACGGACTCTTTTAAAATACTTCTCCATCACTGATTCACTGAGGCTGGGGAATTCAGGAAACTCTTTGAATGCAAAATTGATAAACAATACAACTTCACAAACAATTGAACAAGAAGGAACCAGAATTTTAGAAAACATAATTAAACTCACCAGCGCGGCAGCGCTTGCAATAGCTAATCAGCCAAATCAATTTTCGCCTCTGTAATCAGCAATCCAGGGTCTGAAAAATACAAACTTTGAAGGTTAATGATGTAGCAAAGCTTCAGAAGCATAAGGAACGAAGAATATAACCTTCGAAGTTCGAGCTTCAGAGCGGCTAACCTTCGAAATTAGAACCCTCCTGAACCCTCCTGTCGAAGTTCAGACGGGAGGAGGTTGAGGAATTCAGACGGGGGAGGCTGAAGTTGAGGAAGTGGAGGTAGAGGCGGAGGCTCAGAGGTAGAGGTGGAGGTGGAGGTGGAGGCGGAGACTCAGCACAGCAGTAGACGCGGAGGATGCGAGACGGAGATAGTGAAACGAAATGGGGGCAGATGCTGGTGACTTGGGTTTTTTTTTTTTTTTTTTT